CCCTACACTAATAGCAAGGCCTTTTCACTAACTGCACTACCTATTCACTAACACTAACTGCCCCTCATCTATCCACTAGCACTTCTAAGAAAAAATAAACTGGGCTATACAGGCTCTCAGGGTGGCTGGCCATGCTCCCAGGTGGGTTACGGGCACTGTGCAGGCTCTCCGTTGGGCTGTGGGCACTGTGCGGGCTCTCAGGTGGACTGCAGGCTCTGTGTGGGCTCTCAGGTGGACTGCAGGCTCTGTGCGGGATGTCTGTGGGCTCTTAGGTGGACTGCAGGCTTCGTGCGGGCTCTCAGATGGACTACAGGCTCTGTGCGGGCTCTCAGGTGGACTGAGGGCTATGTGCAGGCTGTGTGTCAGCTCTCAGGTGGACTGCGGGCTCTGTGCAGGCTGTGTGCGGGCCCTCAGGTAGGTTGCGGACTCTGTGTGGGCACTCAGACAGACTGCGGGCTCTGTGAGGGCACTGTACGGGCTCTCAGATGGACTGCGGGCTCTGTGAGGACGCTGTGTGTGGGCTCTCAGGTGGATTGCAGGCTCTGTGCGGGATGTCTGTGGGCTCTCAGGTGGACTGCAGGCTTTGTGCAGGCTCTCAGGTGGACTGCAGGCTCTGTGTGGGCGCTCAGGTGGATTGCAGGTTCTGTGCGGGATGTATGTGGGCTCTCAGGTGGACTGCAGGCTTTTTGCTGGCTCTCAGGTGGACTGTGGGCTCTGTGAGGACACTGGGTGTGGGCTCTCAGGTGGACTGCAGGCTCTGTGCGGGCTCTCAGGTGAACTGCAGTAGGAACTGGGCCCAGCAGGAGGAACAGGGCACAGCAGCAGGGGAATGCATAGGCATAGCGGTCTCTACTCCCTGCTGGGCACCGGCTGCAGTGCTCTGTGTCCCCTAATCAGAATCAGGGGAGGGGTGTCAACTAATCAGAATCAACTAATTGATAATGTGAATCGTTGACAATGATTAAATCAATTAGTTGTTGCAGCCCTACATGCTACTTCTATGTGTATCATGTTTTTGAGTGCCATGCTACTCCTTTGTGTATCATATGTCAGTAGCATGTTAGTCCTATGTGTATCTTGTCAGTGGCCTGCTACTATGTGTATCATGTGTCAGTACCAATACTATTCTTAAGTAAATATTCCCAAAAATGACACAAGCGACAGTAAAAACCTGGCAGAGGTTCCAACTCTTCTACTCTTTATCCACCTAAAAAAATGCCTGTTAAAGTGGGCCATCAGTAACTTTACAAGTCTGCAAAAATATATTCCTGACAGGTCACAAAATACAGCAACAGTATCTCTTTGAGGGTTCTCATTTATCCAGGTCATGGTATAGCAAGTAAGTAGTAGTTAGTCTCAGTCACCAGGACTATTTGAATGTGACTAACTACTCATATTTCGCTCCAGCCAGTGACATTGTCTAGGCTGAGATGATGTCATCAGTCTGCTGCAGGCAGGAGGAAGCATTTTCTCAGTCTCCTCTCCCCCAGAGATCAGAGTGTAACATTGTAACTTTATAGCAAGTTACAGTGCTATCCAGTCCCCTACATGTGTCATCATGCATCCATCCAAACACAAATGATGTTATTGTTACATGTGTAGCCAGCATTTTACTCCACTACAGTAACGCCAAACATTGCATGGTTATGTGTGTGATTACAAAACACGCAAGAAAGGTTTTGGCTTTAGTTCTACTTAAAATAATATTTTCCAACATACAAGGCCACTGGATGAGCCAGAATACTGAAACATGTCAAGTAGTGCGTTCTCAATATGCGAACTGTGCTTGTTACTTTGTCTCAAAGCCAACCTCCGGCCTAAAATAAGGTATAAGAAATAGCATGTTAAAAGATAAAACAACAAACCCCCATAGCACATCATTCACATCAGAGTCCCCTTTCACATTAGAGCCTCTTCCTTTCACATCAGAGCCCCTATCTTTCACATCAGCGCCTCCTCCTTTTACATCAGAGCCTCTTCCTTTTACATCAGAGCCTCCTCCTTTCACATCGGAGCCTCCTCCTTTCACATCAGAGCCCCCATCATTCACATCAGACCCCCCCCCTTTCACATCAGAGCCCTCATCATTCACATCAGAGCCTCCTCCTTGCACATCAGAGTCTCCCTCTTTCACATCAGAGCCCCCATCATTCACATCAGAATCCTCCTCTTTCACATCAGAGCCCTTCTCCTTTCACATCAGGGCCTCCTCCTTCTACATCAGAGTCACCCTCTTTTACATCGGAGCCCACATCATTCACATCAAAGTCCTCCTCTTTCACATCAGAGCCCTTCTCCTTTCACATCAGTGTCCCCCTCTTTCACATGAGAGCCCCCCTCTTTCACATCAGAGCCTCCTTTTACATCAGAGTCTGCATCTTTCACGTCAGAACCTCCTCTTTCACACCAGAGCCCCCCTATTTTACATCAAAGTCCCCTTCTTTCACATCAGAGCCCCCCTGTTTCACATCGGAGCCTCCTCCTTACACATTAGAGTTCCCCTCTTTCACATCACAGCCCCCCTTACCCTGGTACTTGCATGAACATGCAAATTTGTACACACTCACAAACCCCAGACACAGACAGTCTGCTTTCAGGGTTGTACCTCTGTATGCATGAGCATGCTTACCCAAGAACCAGTGTTAGATGTCTGCTTTAGAATAACTTTTTGGAGTCTATTTCCTATCTTTTCATCCAAAAAGTTGTCACATTAAAGATCGCTCACTGCAGACATAATGGTAGCTCGAGATAAAGACTCCTTTCAGGTGCCAGAGGAGAGTGCTGTTTATCCACACAAGCCTGCGATGTGCCATTGTCCCTTTTGAAGCTGGCTGGGATCCAGTTGTGCCTGTGTATCCATTCTTTTTGTGCTCAGGTTCAGGTGGTTAGTGCCAGTTCTCCTTAGATTACCTTGGACCAGATTTACACTTTTCTGTTTTGAATATACACTGAGTGGCCAGATTATTATGACCACCCCATCAGTACTTCGTTGGGTCACCTTTTGCCTTCAATACTGCAGCAATTCTTCTTGGCATTGACTCCACGAGATGTTGAAAGGTGATGCGAGGAATCTGACACCATGCCTGATGAATAGCACTGTCCAGTTCTGTGAGATTTGATGGTTGTGGAACCAGCTGCCTGATGGCTCTTTCAACTTCGTCCCACAAATGCTCAACTGGATTGAGATCTGGTGATTGTGGGGGCCACCTAAGCAAGGTAAAGTCTCACTCATGTTCTTGAAACCACTCCTGCACAATACGAGCACCGTGGCATGGCACATTGTCATGTTGGAAGTAGCCATCTCCATTGGGATACGCCATCAACATGATAGGATGAACTTGATCATCAACGATACTTTGGTATGTTGTGCTATTCAGACGTTGTTCCACACAAATTAAAGGGCCCAAATCATGCCAGGAAAACATGCCCCTAACCATAACACTGTCCCCACCAGCTTGAAGGGTTGTACTCATGCATGTGGGGTGCATGTCAGTAGGTTTGTTATTTTTCAACTTCCTTTACCAGACCAAGCTGTCCAGCGAAAGTGTCAAATAGAGGGTTCAGACAAACCAGGTAACACTGACAGCGGTACTCACAATGGTCAGATTTTATTTATTTCGGTAAAACCTTTATCCCGAAAGGAAAAAAAAACTGTTGCTCTAAGTGCTTAAAAAGTATTAGGTGGAGTTCAGATTTAATTTGTTAGTCAAGTCCATCTAAATTTGCTGGTCCATCTAACAATACCCTCTCCACAGGGTGACAATGCTGCTTTCCAAGGGGAGCCTTGTTGTAGACATGTGCGATTCGTTTCGTTCCGAAACAAAATTCGGACGAAATTTCGGAAATTCTAATTTCCGAAATGTACCATGTCCGAATTCATCCGAATCTGAAATTTCGGATCCGAAGTTTCGGATTCGGAATTTCGGATTCAGTACGAATTTCGTCCTAACAGAAACTAAATTAGAAATTTACGATAATGACTTCAAAAAGAGCATTTCATAGCATGTGAAGTTAAAAAAACAAAACATTACTTCATGTTCCTGTGCACGCCACGTCAACGTTTAAACGGATAAAAAAATGAAGAAAAGGATTTTAATGTCCCTTTAATAGTGAAGACTGAAATGTCAACTGTGCCAATTCTGCTACGTGCTACATGGATTTGCATTTATTAGGATGGGTTTCCTCATGGTGACAAGTTGACCTTCTCTGCGTAATGTGTGCTGAAAAAGATGTTCGTAGTTTCCATTGTCAGCCTGGAGGGCGACAACGTAGGCTCACAATTGGCAGACAGGGAGGACAGCGTTGTCACCCTTTAACAGGAAGTGCCTGATGATTGGATGAGAGCAGATATCCTGATTTATTGGATTTACTTTTTGTAGGCTGCTAAAATTGAGAGCGTGACAATTGGATAAGTCCAGCAATATTTTAATTAAACATGATATGATAGTAGAAAGCCAACAAGCAGATGCAGTGAGCCCACCCCCCGAATCGCATTAGCTTAAAAATGTGCTGGGTTTATCATTGGATAAACCCAGCACACTTTTAATCCAACGTATTTCAGGGGGGCTCACAGCATCTGCTTGTTGGCTTTCTTCTATTAGGCACGCTCACTCTACGGGTGTTATTTTCATGAAAGCTGCAGATCTGAAAATACATTTTGGAATGACAATAACATGTGCGAGCTTATCTGAGATTTTACCAATTGGTTTCACATCTGCTTTATTTCTGCTTAATGGCAAGGTGGGCAACCAGAATCTACCAGTCCGGGTCTCCAGTAGACAAAGCAATGTGTGAAGCCATCTATAAAGGTTACTTTCTACTGTGCATTGTCTCTCGGTGTCCCCGGGAAGCTGCAGCCAGCAGTGACAGATGCTGCGGGTATTTGACAACATAATCCTTTTATTTCCCGCTTATCCAATCAGCCGCGGAAGATGTGTAGGCGCATGCGCATTGTGAGCCGTGCGCTCTGCGGAATCTATGTGCCCACGTCTTGTTTCTGGACGGAGCAGTGTAGGTGTAACACTCGGTTCCGTGATGCTGGCTGTGGCCTTGGTCGCTGTGCTCTCTGTGTTGTGGTGTGTGTGCAGCCGCTGGAGAGATGTGCTATCCGGCCGGCCGGTGGGGAATTTCCGGGGTGTGCGGGCTCCTCTGCTGCTCATCGCTCACCCAGACGATGAGTGTATGTTCTTTGCCCCGACCGTCCTCGGTCTGCTGCAGGAACAGCGCCCCCTGTCTGTGTTGTGCTGCTCCACAGGTATGGACACCTGCAGCCCAGCCCGGGTGTTGTCACCCTTTGAAGATTGTTCTTTCGCCATACACCTCTGTTAAGATTCTCCTTATCTATAAAGAAGCCTGTAGTCTTTGGATGACTGACTGTCGGTATGACTGATTACAGATCAGGAGATAATGGTCCATGTTGGGGAAGGGGCATCTACTGGATTAAATTGCCCTGGCTGATCCAAAAACTAAGGTTCTACTAGGGGTGTTATATGTGTAGGGATATCCCGACACCACTTTCAACTACAAGTACTTTCCCTCAGGTACTCACAATACCAATTACCGATACCTTTTCTTAAAGGCACATGATTTTTATAAAACGAAACTCCAGGAGTCCATTACCTGGTCTCTCACCTAGTCCTTTGGTAGTCGGAGTTGTGCTGGAGTGTCATGGCCGTGCCTGGTGTCTAGCGTGTTTGTGGGAGGCGGTTCAGTGAGGTCCCCGTTTGGCTGCCCAGAGGACCCCCAACAAGTGCGGTACCTCTGGGCAGCCTGAAGCTATCTAAAAAATTAAAGTGCCTATATCGGCATGTGTATCGGGGCATTTTCACAAGTAGTTGTGAAAATGTCCTGTATCGGTACCGATGCTAGTATCGTTATCGGGACATCCCTAGTACTGTGCAAAAGTTTTAGGCAGGTGTGAAAAAATGGTGTAAAGTAAGAATGTTTTCAGAAATAAAAGTGTTAATAGTTTATTTTTATCAATCAACAAAATGGAAAGTAAATGAACAGAAGAGCAAATCAATATTTGGTGTGATCAACCTTTGCCTTCAAAACAGCATCAGTTCTTCTAGGTACACTTGCACACAGTTTTTGAAGGAACTCGGCAGGAAGGTTGTTGAAACCATCTTGGAGAACTAATCCCAGATCTTCTGTGGATGTAGGCTGTCTCAAATCCTTCGGTCTCTTAAAAGTAATTCCAGACAGATTCGATGTTGAGATCAGGGCTCTGTGGGGGCCAAACCATCACTTCCAGGACTCTTTGGTCTTCTTTACGTTGGAGATAGTTCTTAATAAATTGGATGTATGTTTGGGGTCGTTGTCCTGCTGCAGAATAAATTTGGGGCCAATCAGACCCCTTCCTGATAGTATGGCATGATGGCTAAGTATCTGCTTGTATTTCTCAGCATTGAGGACACCATTGATCCTGACCAAATCTCCAACTCCATTGGCAGAAATGCAGCCCCAGATTTGCAGGGAACCTCCACCATGCTTCACGGTTGCCTGCAGACACTCATTACTGCACCGCTCTCCAGCCCTTTGGCCAACAAACTGCCTCCTGCTACAGACAACTATTTCAAATTTTGACTCAGTCCAGAGCACCTGCTGCCATTTTTCTGCACCCCAGTTCCTATATTTTTGTGCATAGTGGAGTCGCTTAGTCTTGTTTCCACGTCGGAGGTATAGCTTTTTGGCCGCAATTCTTCCATGAAGACCACTTCTGGCCAGGCTTCTCTGGACAGTAGATGGGTGTACCTGGGTCCCACTGGTTTCTGCCAGTTCAGTGCTGATGGAACTGCTGGACATCTGATGTCAAAGGGAAGTAAGCACGGTGTGTCTTTCATCTGCTGCATTATTTCCTTGGCCGACCACTGTGTCTGCGGTCCTCAATGTTGCCTGTTTCTTTGTGCTTCTTCAAAAGAGCTTGAATAGCAAATCTTGAAACCCCAGTCTGCTTTAAAATCTTTGCATGGGAGAGACCTTGCTGGTATAACTACCTTGTGTCTTGTTGCTGAGCTCAGGCTTGACCATGGTGTATGACCTGTGACATGAAACTGTCACAACCTCATCTTAGTAGCAGAGTTTGGCTGTTCCTCACCCAGTTTTAAGCCTCCTACAGAGCTGTTTCTGTTTCAGTTAAAGTGACATTAAAGGCAAAAAAAAATTCCCTCCCCCCAATGTAAATGTTAGCACTTACCTTAAATGATGTCTCTTTTTCCGATCTTCCTCTTCTTTCCCCATGTTTTCATCTGTCCCTCCAGCGGTGTGATGTCACTCCGATCCAGCGCTGACTGCTCTGTCTCTCCGATCCAGCGGTGTCTGCAGGCGGGTGCACGCGTCCATAGATTTACCTTGCGTCTCTGCTCGTCTCCTGGCCGAGAATCGGAACTGCGCATGCGCCCGCCCCAAGATCCTTTGCGGCCGTACGAGCAGTTCCTGATTCTCAGCGTGGGAACGAGCGGCGATAACGAGGTAAGTTTAAAAGGATTTTAAGCGTTTTTTTTTTGTTTTTTTTTACACTTCTTGCCTATATCTACTGCTTGCTAGCAGTAGATATAAGCAAAAAAAACGGAGGGTTTATAACCCCTTTAATGACTGTGTTTCAACCTACATATTAAATTTGTGATCATTAGCGCCTGCTTGGTATAATTGGTAATCATACACCTGACTCTAATCCTACAAAACCCCTGACTTTGTGCAAGTGTAAGAATTTATGCTAGTTTGAAGAAAAAGGGTAGTCACACCAAATATTGATTTAGATTTTTCTTCTGTTCATTCACTTTGCATTTTGTAAATTGATAAACATATATATATCTATCCATCCATGTCCAATTACATTTTATGCTTGTGTCACACAGCCACTTCCATCAATCTGTCCTGGTGGGTTGCACCGGAAACATTTCCGCTATAAATGAAATGATTGTTCAACGTCCGTTTATACATGTGCTGCCGTGTAATCTCATCCCAGGACCGCATTTCTTCTTTCTCCCCCCAGGCCAAGTGTGCCTTTCTCCTTACTCCATTGACTGCTTAGTCATAGTAGCACATTAAAATGTGTGATATCTGTTCACTCCTATTGATTCTATGGGCCAATAAGGGAGGGTTAACACTGCTGTATCTGTGTCTCAAAGAGATATCCCTTCATGTCCT